TAAATAAACCTAGATATGGCTCAGGATAAAGTCACAGGTCTGCAGGGGCTGTGCCTCAGAATGTCATGCCTTGGCTCCCAGTCTGAGGAAAGCTAGGTCAGTATTCAGGGAGAAGGCTGGAGGGAGTAAGTACTTCCTTCTTGCTGACCTCCACACACGAAGAAAAGGCCATGGGCTCCCTCCTTCCCACCTCCTGTGGCATCCATTCATCCCCAGCCTGCCATGCTGCTCTGGATACATCCAGACCCTGTGGCACTACTTTACTTGATGGGGTAAATGCTTAGTGACAGCATCAAAGAGACATCCTGCCCCTTGCAAGTGGGATGCAGAGCCAGCTGGGGGTCCTGAGGACTGAGACCCATGTCACTGACACAGCAGGCAAGGAGAAGACCAAGGCTTTCCCTTCTCCTAGCCTAGATACCTATTTCAGAGAGCCACAACCACAGCAGAACCAGTACTGGCTGGTACTTCAAACTGAGCACAAACACAAATTTTATGTGCAAGGCTTACCCCAGCAGATTCCTCCTGGCAGCAAAAACACACAGCTAGACTGCAGATAACTAAACCCAATGACCATTTGGCACTAAACACAAGAGGTGAGTTTCACCAGAGTGCCCACTTTGGGTAGATGACCATATTCCATCCCCACTGCAGTGGGAAGGTGCCTGGACCTGCAAAGCCCATCAGTTTAACGAGATCAATCTGTTTAGCTTAATAAATAGGAGGTGAAGAAATGACTTGAGCACTATCCAAACTATTGAAAGGAGGAAGAGATGTTGGCTCAAAAGAGCTGTTCAGCTGGAGAGACAAGGGTATGCAGACGCAATGAAGGGAAGAGTCCAACTAAAAGTGCTTGTGAGAATCCCAACCACTGCAGTAATACAGAAATGGCTCTGACAAGTTCACCCTCACTTGTAACTGTACATCAGATTGAGTGTTTGGGTTTTTTCCCTTAACAAATTGAACAGGAATAAATTAAGGGATGTGCTACAGCCTGTATTTTGCTGTGGGTTAGATCAATGATCCAAATGTTCTTTGCTGGCTTTGCAGTCAATGAATCACTAAATTTGGATCCACATCCTCACCAGATGGATCAGAACCAGAAACCGAGGTGCTGCTGCCCCCAGGGCTTAATGGAGTTTATGTCTGGGTTTGAAGCAGATCTGGGAATTTTACTGAAAGTTTTATATCTGCTTTTCCCCTGAAAGCTCAATGGCAAGGTTCAAATGATTCTCTAAGCACATTAATTCTCAGGAAATCCTTGTGATTGCAGAGAAAAGCTGGAACAGTCCTAAAAGTTCCAACAGTGGCAGACAAATAAAATGAACTTTAAAACTGGGGGAGGGGGGTGTTTCCTGAGTTATGATTTTCTGAATTTGGCCAGGGGGTGAGGACTTTTTTCCTGACTCTTCCACAGCCAGGGCTGGTGATGCTGAGACAGCCTTCCTGAAAGCATATTCTGGCAGAGGGATTTTTACAGTCGGCACAGATATCTGGCTTCTTCCATCTTTTCAGTAACAGGCTGTGAGTGTGCTTCTCTGTTTGGCATTGGCTGGAAAAGATTACCATGAGAAGGAGAATCAATAAATTCCATCACAGATGACAAGCATGGAGGGAAAACATTGCTTGGGGTTGCTAATCAACATCTGCAGTGGGGATGGATGGAGCATCCCAGGGTCAGACCCCCTCACCCGAAATGCTCCCACATGTGTTGGCAAAGCTCCTGCTCAGAGCTCCTCCTCCATCTGCAGTGGTGCTTCTGCCAGGTTCCCAGTCCCATTTCAGCAGTCTCCTGTCTCCTCGCCTTGAAAGCCTGATTGCAAATCCTAAACAAGTGCTCTATGATGGGCTGGCTCCCTGCCCAGAGACTGCATCAGAAATTCTGCTTGATGTATCAAACCCTCAGCAAGCAGGGGGAAGGGCAGAGAGCCAGGGCAGGTAAGGAATGGGTGCCATACACAACCCAGGAGAGCAGGGAAGCACCAGGGAGTTGCCTTCCCTTTGACCTATCCCTATCCAGGAGGGTTTCTCACCATATCCTGATGGATTTGAACCACGGGAAAACAGCAGTGAGAAGGACCAAGGATGGCAGATGCAGCAGTTGTGCCATGTCCTTCCTGTCTACACAGGACCCCAATTCTCCTGGGATGTGTCGAGGTCCACCAGCCCCATGTTCCCCAGCCAGGCTCCTTCCTCCACCAGCACTGCAGGTATTACAGCAGCAGCCACATGGACACTCAGAGTTTCTGACTGCAATATTAAATATCAGCCCAAGGCCACTCTCACAGCAGAGATTTGCTCTGTGGGGTGGCACAAGTCCTGCTGCAGAAGCTTTGAAGAGAGAGGCTGAGGGCACCTTGGCCAGTGCCACCAGTCATCTAATCTGAGGGAAAAGTGGAGCTCTTTGGAGGCTGCCAGGTCTATGGAACTAGTCTTTCACCCAAATTAACTATTTCCTTTCTTGGCAGGCAAGGAAGCAAGACTTCAGGACTCTGAGTTGTCCCCAGGCACCACATTTGAGCCCAGGAGACCTGGAGATGTACAGAGCTGAGTTCTTCCAGCCACCACTTGATACTCAAAAGTTCCAACATGACCCCGAGGTGGCTTTGCATTTGGCCTCCTCATATGGCAAGAGAAGGGTGAGAAAACCTTCCTTGTTTTTAAGCCAAAGGCGGCACAAGCTCTTTATAAGGACCTCAAATATTTTGGAGTCAAAGAGGTCAGTTTTCAGGCTCCAAAACTGCCAAAGGCTCTTGGGTCAAGAGACATCTGGAAACCACACCGGTTGATGTTAGTCACCTACTATTTCATCATTGTGCCCTTTTAAACGGAGCTTCTCTTCTCGGTGAGAGGTTGACCCTGCGCACCGAGGAGCCCCTGGAAGAACTGCTGACGTGGGCAGGCTCTGCATCACGTTGATGCTATTCTGGCTTCTTCCCCACCATGGCCTCCCCCCATTAGATGTCACAGCACGAGGACAGTCTCCTCCAAAGGCAGCAGGGAGAAAAGACAGCTACTGCTGTGCTTTTCAAGCCACTTCAGTGCAATCTTCACCCTCTCTGAAGGATGAACTTGTGAAGCAAAAGAACCTGGGGCCACGTTGCAGAGTCTGTCTCATGTTGCAGTTGGCCCCTGTGGACAGGACGTCCCTTTCCTGTGGTGCCTGTGAAAGCAAGTGTCCCTACGTCCCCTCAAAATGCTCCCTGAGATGGAAAGGTCTAAATCCAATGTTTTCAATTTCTCTTACCAACCAAAAGTGGGATTGCTGGTTTTCTTGGGGAGGGTGAAACACCAGAGTAGATCACAGCAAGATGAAAGAGTAGGAAGGAAAGGAAAAACAGGATAACCAGGCCCTGTGCCAAAGGCAGAAGAGTGAGAAGAACAAGGTCCTCAGGTTGACATGGCCAGGGCAGATCAGGGCCTGGATCTAAGGCAAGTCACACTTAGAACTCTGCCTGGTCACTGGTGGGACATAGGTCCACACCAGTGGGTGGGATGGGCCCTCAATGGAGAAGACAAAACCTTCAATATATCCCAACCTCCAGAAACAGGGACACTGACCACTGCACAAGGAAGGACTAGCAGGAGAGCCAGAGGGATCCCTGGCTGCCTACACGGCCTCTGGATCAAGTTAGCACATGGAAATGGGGACAGCAGCAAGAAAGTTCCTCAAGGGACAGAGGATGTCAGAACAAACTGCAGCAGGGAAGGAGACTCCAGCACTCAGTGGCTGAGATGTGGAGTCAGGGTCTGGTCAAGAAGGTGACAAGGGGGTGTAAACTTTTTTTCACAAAAATATGCTCAGAATTGATTCAGATATCAGAGACTAAAATCTTTATGTTTTTCTCACCTATCAAACCATGACCACAGATTAAATAAAAGACACTGCTGCTGGTATCCACCAGCCCAACACAGACACTCCCTCGGTCTCACTGGACACCCCTGCCCCATGCAGGATGGGGAACCAGCCCCCACTCCATGGGTGTCACCAGCTACCAGGATTACTCACTCCCTCTTAAACAACTCCTTGCTCTATCCATCACCCTCAGTTCCTGGGATGGAGATGGCCAATAAGTGCAGCATTCACCTTAAAGGTCACTCCCTGCTTCCCGACCACATCGGACACTGGGAGCAGCCAGAGGAGGAGTCCCAGTGCTGCTGTCCCTTGTGACCAGGGCTGGGCTTTCCCAGCAGGGAGGGAGGTTTGACACTCACCTAGCAGCAGGTTCATGAGGACCTCCTGGCCTGCCAGCGTGCTGCTCTTCACCAGGCAGATGAGCGTACCCGCAATCCAAGGGATGCCGTGCCCCGTTATCCCCAGGAGGTTGATCATGGAGCGAGCACCACCCCAGGAGGAGGCTCTGTTGGCACACACTCCCAGCCTCTTGGACATGCAGATATCGATGGCCAGCAGCGAGTTGAAGGCGATTCCCTTGAAGGAGGGGTTGAGCTGCATGCAATCCTCCTCGGGCAGCTGCTGCGACTGCCTCCGCTCCTTGGGGTTGGTGTTCTGGGCACCGGCTGCCCCGGCCTGGCTGCTCTGCTTTCTGCTGGAGCTCCTGTTCTCCTGGTTCCCCTTCAAGGGCTGGTTCAGGGAGAGGAACTCAGCCCTGTTGAGGACATTGTTCCTGTCTCTTGCCCTGGACCGTGGCTGGGATGCTGGCATTGCAGTCTCTCTTTAACGCAACCTGCTCTGCAAATACCGGGAAGGAGAAAATCCCTCTTCTCCCTGCAGAAAGCTTCCCCCACGCCCACCCTCACAAGCTGTGAATTTGGGAAGCTACAAAGGTTCCCCTCGGTTGCAGTTGCCCCCAGCACAGACTGCAGCTGTTAAATATAGAGTAAGGAATGCACATGGCTGTTTACTTCATGGGCCTAGCAAGCTTGGAAAGAAAATTAATGCCAGGCTTGGCAGCCACTCCTGTGCCAGGGAAAAAGGTTAAACAGCCAATAGATTGGAAGAAGAGGAGGGAAAAACGTTGTGCCAAAGGTTGGTTGCTTCTAGCCTGGTCTATTTAAATCTTCCAATTACTTATTTCCCTGGGCTGCAAGGGAAACTGGGAAATGTAGTTTTTCGTGCTGCAATTCACATTTCAATATCAGCGAGCCAGAGCTGGAGCTGACAGCAT